ATTTATCCATTTATGATAAAAACTTTCAAAAAACTTGGCATAGATTGAATATTTATCAACATAATAAAGGCTATATATGACAAACTCACAGCTAATATTATGTTCAATGGTAAAAAAATCTAATGCTTTTACTCTAACACTGGTATAAGACAAGTATGCCCATTTTAACCACTACTATTGAACATAGTATTGAAAGTCTTAGCTAGAGCCATCAGGCAAGGGAAAGATATAAAAGGAATGAGGAATTAAAATTTTCATTATTTGCAGATGACATGATGAAATTCTTGGAAAACCCTGAAGACCCTGCTAAAATAAAAAATATTTCAAATAATAAATCAAATTCAGGAATATAGCAGGGTACAAAATTAATCTGCAAAAAATCAGTTGTGTTTCTATGCACAACCAGTTTGAAGAGAAAACAATACCATTTACAATTGCAACAAAAAGAATTAAATACTTAGAAGTAAATTTAACAAAGGAGTTAAAGGAACTATACAATGAAAACTGCAAGACATTTTAAAAAGAAATGGAAGAAGACACAAGGAAATAGAAAGATATTCCCTGCTCATGGACTGGATGAACACACACTGTTAAAATGGCTATCCTACCCAAAACGATGTAAAAATTCATTGCAAACCCTGTCAAGGTTCCAATGGTATTCCTCAAAGAAATAGGAAAACCAATACTGAAATTCAGGTGAAACCACAAAAAATTCAAATAACCAAAGACAAAAAAGAGGAAGAGTGCTGGTATCACACTCCAAGACTTCAAACTAAGCTGTAGTAATTAAAAGACTATGGTACTGGAACAAAAAACAGACATGCAGACCAATGGAGAACTATTCAGCTATGAAAAGAATTAACTCCAACTGTTTGTAACACCATGAATAAAGCTATAAAGGATAATGGGTAAGTGAAACATGTCAAAAGGAGATAGGCAAATATAGGATGGTCTCAGTTATATGTGGAATATAGGGTAATATAACAAAGGGTGGGTCAAAAACAAACCAATAATAAACCCTTACCATCTGGCTGCAGAACAAAGGCAACCAGAGGTAAGGGTGCTGGGGTGGTAATGGGGGACATAGGGAGCCCAGTGGAATATAGTGGATTGTTAGGACACTGTGGTATGAAGGGTGTAAAAATATACATAGATAGAGGATTGAATTGAACTTATATCCCCCAGAGCAGGTACAAAAACGCAAACCTACTTTACTTCAATAAACATAATTTGGGAGAAAAAGAATGTGTTAAATGAATAGGAAAAGAAAGGATCATAAATAAATAAATTAGGAAATAAGAACTTTGATAAATAAGTCAAATAAATGTTCATTATTTAGAATGTTTTGTTGGATTATTAAAAATACATGACAATACATGAGCATATGTAAAGTATAAAGAAAGGATATGATTTTTTCAAACATAAAGGTTTGACATAGGATCAATGTAACCAAAAGTTTCATAAAACTCTAATAATATAAGATCTAATATATGCAGCATACCTCCTGAGCCATAGGAAAACTAGAACTCACAGAACTCATTATTTCTAAGACCTACTTAATAAGAGATGATAATTAGTGCCAATAAATTTTAAGATCAAAAGCCCTGGCTACACATTGTCAAATAAGTGCCTAAAATCCCCTGATTTCCTTTGATTGGTGTTTCTCTTCAAAATTGCTCTGCTTGCTCTTTAAAAAGCAACCAAAATTCTGCAGAACGTTAATGAAATCTTGTGCTTTTTTCTGTCTCTACATTGTGTTCTTTTCTTGTGTATTTCAGAATGCTGTGTATGTTATAAATCAATACTAATAGTCAGCTATCTGACATATCTTAAAAACTACGGTCTAACCAAGTTTTAGGGGACACTGTTTACCATAAATGGATTATTTTGAGATACATAGTTTGCTTTTCTTACTTGTTCTGGATAGAAGCTGTTGTGAACCATTTATTATAAGCACTTTTTTAAAAAAGTTTTATTTATTTTTATACAAGAACTGGGGTACAGGCCAGATGCACGGGAGGGTGAGAAGATTCACCAGAGACAGAGTGAGGAACAGACCAGGCAAACTGACGAAATACACTGCTGAGGGGAGCAGCAGGTGAGACAAAAAAGGTCTGCTTCTCCATGTGGGATTCTCGCTGGCCGACTGGGATCAAACCCATGCTGCAGAGGCTGTGGACAGCTTCACAGTCTGTTGCTCAACGACCTGTGCCACCAGGGAGGCCCTATCATAAGCACTTTTTATTAAATTTAAAATAATTTTCAGGTTTTTTCTTTGCATATGCAATATTTTGTGTATGGTCAAATGCTTGCCAGGAAAATCAGCAGCTTAACCTTAAAATCATACAAGCATTGTGTGTCTTTGTATTTTATATTTATTATATTTTGTATTTATGTATCTCCACCCTCTTAAGTATATTGTGATATGTTTCAATATATCAAGTTATTCCATCCTTTCTGATAATCAATTGGAATTTCCTGAGATTATAAACATCATGCACAAAAATGGAATTTTTGAAGGACATATTTGATTATTTTCTGCAAATAAATGGAATGTTAAAGAATGGGAAAAATCTTTAAAAAATGGAAAAATCTGGAAACAACTCACATCCAAAAAAATCAGCTATATTTTCCTCCAAGAGTAATTTCTTTCTAATTGAAAGAAAATAAAAAGTGAATTCTTGGTTAGGTTGTCTTTCACAGAATTCTAGATTAAGTCTATCTCATTCAAAGAATGTGAATCTGTTCACAATATGAAAATTTGAATTGCATCTATGTTTTTGAGTCATTTTAAGTATGCAAATTTCCTAGAATACATGAGAGTTCTAGATATGTTGAGAAATGTTTTTAATATTAGTTTATGAGAAACTTCCTTAGGATCAAATTTACAGTAATAAAATCTTGAGAATGTGGTGTCAGGAAAAGGTCCACACCATGAGATTAAAAACTCTTGAAATAATTGATGCTTTTCAGCTAAGGTGAAAAGGGCTTATGAACTTATTGTGAACCTTAAATAACTCAGAAATCCTCAAGTGCATCAATAAGAACATGAATATATGGAGTAAAATTGCCTATTTTTCAACATTTCACAAGTGTTCCCAGAGAAAGGTGGTGAATAACCTCTTCCTTTCCTAGATTCTATTCCAATCACTAGGATAAAGAGGAAACATTGTCTTGGACTTTGTAATGATTCACTCTTCATAAATGTTTGGGAATGTAACATGTAGGTATGTGAAGTGTTTTTTGACCCTGGTAGTATACTTAAGGATTTCTAAAATAAAATTAATTTTATTTATATAGTATGGGGTACTTTCATCACTCATGATAATAGTTTGTATTTTTTTCACATTGCAAACTCATTCCATAGGAATACATGTCTATGTCATTGTACTTAATTGATATATCCTTTTTTTATTGTAAGGAAGTGCTTTTTAATTCAACCAATTCCATAATGTTGGAAATCTAATTTTTCTCAAATGAATGAATTCTACGAAAAGTATATTGCGTGTTTCATTTTTACAGTCTTATCAAATAATATCCTTATAATTTATGTCTTGAGTAATATTTCTGGATTAAACAGTACACTTTTCTTTTATTTGGAAATAATGAGGTACTGTCATTTTATACTGCTACCATAAACATAACAATATACATATTTCAACATACAGACTCAACAATACTGCTTTAGAATCTATTTGGAAAAAAAATAGAAAAAAAATAGAAAAAAAATAGAATCTATTTGGTCTTTAGTTATTTGTTAGGAGGAAATCATACCCAATGTTATTTATATACATATATACACACACACACATATGCTGTTGTTTACTAGTTATGATTATAATTTCCCCAATATATATTTTGTAAATAACGATTATTTGTATATATTAAACCTTGCCCTTTATTTATAATAATTTCTCAAATGATTTTTAAATGTTTTCTTAATGGCTAATCATGTCATCAACAAATAGTACATTTTACATTCTTTCTTTCTATGTATTACATTTATTTTTATTTGATTAACTTCATTGGCTCCAACTTCAAAGCAATCTTATAATAGTAAAAATAGACACCTTCGCTTTGCTTGTGAAATTAAAAGAATCATGTTTTACCATTATGTATAAAGTTGAGTATTAGAGATTATGTGTTCTTTTGAGCCTATGCTAAGGAAACATTTTCATATTATTTATTTCACTACAGCATGATTATATATTGATTCTGAATTCAGTAGAATAGATGTTGACTTCCATCAAAATATTTTTCTTTTACTTATTAATATAAAGGATTATGCAATTATATATATTCTAATATTAAATCACGATTGAATTCCATCGTTGAAATCCATTTGTTCATGTGTTTTTTAACTTATATGAATCTAGATTTTATTTAGTAATGGTTTATGATGTTGTAAGTGAATCCTCTCTGATTTATTTTTAATCATGCTTTGTGAAATTTTCACACCAAGACCATGCCAGATTTATAAAAATTAGAAAGCATTTTCTTTACATATATCTTGTGGAAAATCTGAATTATTCTAGGTGTAAGAGCCATAAATGTAATGGTGGGATGGTTCTGTGACATTATCTTTTGGTTCATTTAATTTTGTACATTATATATATTTGTATATATGCACATACATAAATATATATTTATATCTTAGAATATATACATAAATATACGTCTGAGATAAACATATAGCTTAGAAAAATAAATACTTATTGCAATGTACAATATACATATTAAAATGTCAGAGTAAAACCCAAACGGAAGAAAGTGAGGAGCCTATGCATAGGCAAGATATAACCACTAGAAATCAAATTAATTTAGTTAACAGAAAGTGGTGACAGAAGCACAGAAATAAAATTCTGGAGAGCTATAAACTGCTAGAGTGAAAAACAAATACATTTGAAACTACAGAAAAAATGGAACGGAGAAACGTCAGGTAAAGGAGGAACCGGAAGTAGAGGGCGGGACACGAGAGCTCTAAAGGATGTGATGTCACGAAGCCCATCAGCTCCTAACTTGGCAACGCTGTTGACTTGGGGAACACAAGGTGAGACTTCCCCTTGGAGATCTGTCCAGGCCTGTTCACGGCACTCCCAAGTGTGTTATTCCTAACTCAGCCATCCCCGACTCCTAAAATCGTGAAAGGAAGGCTTCCTGAACATGGACGCCGCTGAAGATAGCCCAACGGAGACGCAGAGCCTGGCCCAAGGCATTTCATGTGAGTCTAATAACAACACTGATACAGATCAAGTTCTTACCTCACTAGAGGGCAAGAGGAAGCGGAAAGGATACTTGCCAACCGAGTCCGTCAAGATCCTCCGAGACTGGCTTTATGAGCACCGGTTTAAGGCTTATCCTTCAGAGGCAGAGAAGCGAATGCTGTCAGAGCAGACCAATTTGTCTTTCCTGCAGATCTCTAATTGGTTCATCAATGCCCGCAGGCGCGTTCTTCCGGAAATGCTTCAACAGGATGGAAGTGACCTCAATCAGATAGCCCTGTACCACCAAAAAGGCAAGAGTGTCCTTGTGACCCAGCAGCAGAGCACTGAACCATCTATGCAGGTCAAATCAGGGCTCAAATATCCAGACAAGATGCAGTACCAGCCCCTGAGTCCCCTGCCAATGGGCCTAGAGTCAGGAAAGGAGCTGTTGGATCCAGAGTTGACCCCAGGCCATAAGCTGACCCCAAAGGCCCAGCCAAAGAAAAAGGTCAGATTTTCCACCAGCGAGCCGTTAGCTACATATTCTCCCTGTGACAACATACCTGTGTCGACAGCTGAGTACAAGGATTTCAGTAGCTTTCAGCTGCTGGTGGATGCAGCGGTTCAAAAGGCTGCTGAATTGGAGCTGCAGAAGAAGCAAGAATCCAATGCATGATTTCTTACGTCCCTTACAGTACCCAAGTAGTCAGTCCCTTGTCTGCTATGGTGTATCCATTTATGTACCCCAACACACTTTGTAGCTATACCTTTTATAGAAACATCTTTCCTTCTAGAGGTCTTATGAGAACCATCACTTGCTATTGGGACTGAACTCTGCACAGATATTTCAGTGTTTCCAGATGGAAGATATTAACTTGTCAACATGACTAATACTATAAGCAAAGATCTCTTTACTTCTTCTGAGTCTTCCTAGATTTAAAAGCTTCAGATAATCAGAACAAATCATCTGGAATTAAACACAATGTAGAGACTTCTCCAAAGATTGACTTTTCTAACTAGATTTTTTTTTATTTCAGGACTGCTACAGATACCAAGCCATTCCTCTTTCTCTCTCTGTAACTTCTGTTTATTAACATGAATGATTAAAAAAAAAAAAAGCTCTGTAAAATACGACTATAACAGCACTGGGCTTATTTTTTCTTGGAATTTTTATGAAAAATAAAACTTTTCCTTCGTACAGTGTATAAAGGAGTTGCTATTCTCTGCAGGAGAATGGCAGTCCAAATGCATGAATTGATGAATGTTACAGATAGGGGTAAATTCTTATTTGAGATAAAGTGAAATGTATGTAGTAAAGATAAAAAAAAAATCCAAATGGTAATTTTCTGGTGTTGATTGTAGAATAATTCATTTTAGAGAATATTTTTTATTAGTTTTAATTCACTATATCAGAAGGAGGTAAAAGGGAAAAACTAAAAGGGGAGGGGAGGGGTCAGGGGGGAGGGGGGCGGGTGGGAGGGGGGTGGGCAGGGACTGACAAAAGATTTTCAAGAGAAACAGAACCAGAGGAAGTCAATTTAAAAATAAGAAAAAGAAAAAATGAGTCAACTTAAAAATTTTGTGAGGAAAAAGAAGTAGAATCAGGTATTCTATTTTTTTAGTGGTTCTGTATTATATATTTATTTATTTTAAATTATTTTATATATTTTTACATTATTTTGTACAATATATGCTATTATTTTTATTGTTTTGTTTCAACTTGGTTTTACTTTTTCAATACAATTATTTATTTTTCTTTTAAAGTATTTTGGATTGGTAGAGGTGGAGGCAGGAATGACAAAAGCTTTAAGCAGTTTCCACTTGAAAATTGTGTTGCACTTGAAAAGTAGCTCGCCACACTGCCTCAAGTACACGTAGACTTTCAATAGAAACAGAAAGCCAATTCTCCAGAAAGCTGTTAATTTAGCTTCTTTGATCTTCTCTAATCTAGGGGTCTAAAAGCTGAGGAATCTGGGCCTAGAAATTGGAATCTAATCCCAGTTCTGTTCTAGCCTTGAATTAGAATAGATCATATTTGTTTTCTACTTCTAGGCACTGTTTTTTAATATTACTAGTTACTTGTAATTTCACTATATGATATCTTAAAGTCTCAGTGCTATCAAGCTATCACCAGCCACTGCAGCACCAATTCGATCCCTGGCCAGAGAGGAAACCCGCATGGCACAGCTGACCACTCCAGTGTATTTCAGTGGATCTGCCTGTTCTGCTCCCCATTCTGCCTGTGCTGAATCCTCTCACCCCCTGCACCTCTGGCCTACACCCCAGTTCTTATAAGCATCAATAAATAAAATAGGGCCTCCCTGGTGGCAAGGGGGGTTAAGTCTTAGCACTGTGAAGCTACCGCACCGCTGCAGCACAAGTTCCATCTTCGGCCAGGGAACTAACCTACAGGGTGCAGCAGACCTCTACTGTCTCATCCCCTGCTCCCCTCAGTAGTCTATTTCAGTCAACCCACCTGCTCTGCTCCCCACTCTATCTCTGGTGAATCCTCTTAACTCTCTTCACCTCTGGCCTATACCCCAGCTCTTCTGAGCATAAATAAATAAATATTTAAAAAAAATAAAGTGCCATTCACTTTAAAAAACAAATAAAATCTTTTTTAAAATGTATAATCACAGATTATCCCATATATGATAATTTTGCATTTTTACCCAAAAGGAAACAGGTACATGCTCTCAAACTGCTACAGTAAGAAGGAGTTGAAGATTTCAAGGTATACATGGAGAGGAAGCTTATTATCTGAGTGGTAAGATTTTTAGACTTGACCTATACAGTACTGGATGTTACTGCTTTGTCTTCCACCTTTTATGTGTAAGAAGTTTTGGGGCTCCTGAGACTCCTCTGTCTCAGTACAAAATGTACTGTTACAGCAATTTCAGTGCCTGGTCTGACTCTGTCTCAGAGACAAGTTAGAAGAAGTTAAAAAGAAACCTTTTTTTTATTTTATTTCTTTAACTTTTTATTTAAAGATTTTTTTTATTTATTTTATACAAGAACCCGGGTACAAGCCAGCTGTGTGGGAGGGTGAGAGGATTCACCAAATACAGAGCAGGGAACAGAACAGGCAGACTGACTGAAATACACTGCTGAGGGGAGCAACGGGTGCAACAGGAGAGGTATGTCGTGCCACGTGGGACCCTTGGGATGGAACTAGCACTGCAGAAGCTGCAGACAGCTTCACAGCGCGGAGCTAACTCTCCTGCACCACCTGGGGAGGCCCAAGAAACCCTTTTTTAAATCAGAGGTTTTTTGTTTAGATCAGACTTTTGATAAAAAGTTTCAGTATCTGAGACTGAGTCCAGTTGGAATAATTTAGAGTGATTATAAGACGTGATCTAAGGGAAATATGTTGGGATGGCAGTGTTATTATTCTATTCCCATCGTGTATTTTGTAATGGATTGTATGCCATGTGGCGGTGTAGTTTTCACTGCATTATAGTAGAAAGGGAAGCAATTCTTTGGCTTCTGTCTTCATTTTGTTATGTTACAAACATAGGAATGAAGCATAGCTTTTTAATTTAATAGAGTAAAATTTAAGAACTTGTGTCATTGCACCAAATGTTAACCACTCTGCACTTGCTGCTTTTCTATTCCTATTCTTTTCTAGGATTAAAGTTTAGAGAAGCTTTAGTGTACTTCACTCTTTAGACAGAAATTGGAATAATTTTCTAAAGAAAATGAATTTTTAAAGTCAAGTCACCGATTCCATATTATTTGAGTTTAAGAACTATATAAAACCTGGCAGAAAAAGCATCACTTCTTAAAAATATGGTCTTATAGAAATAAAAAGTTGAAGGTAGCATTTAGAAAAAAAAATATTGGGCTGTATTCTTGGGAAAGAGATTTCTACTGATATAATAGAATGAGATAAGTATATAGTAAAATGATTTATGATTAATGGGAGGTTCAGAGGGGGTAGATCTAACAAAGATTAAGAATTGGTTAAAAATGAAGTCTCTCAGATGGTGTAGAGGTGAGACTCATTAAAGTGTACTTCAATCATGTATTAATATACTTCAATAATATATTAGTCTTATAAGAGGATGTCACATTAACGTGTCTTTATCCTTTGACAACAGAGCACATTTACAAACAATTTAGTTATAAAGTTTATCTTCAACCTTGTGTTCTTTCATCTTTTTCCAGAATCTAACATGTAATAGGAAGAATTTTCATTTAGCATATGTTTTTATGAAGTCTAGAGTGCCTTGAACATTTTTTTGCAATGTGCTCTAATATATGCAACGCATTTTATTGAAAAACATGGATGTGGGATTTTCCTGGATATTTTTTATTTAGTGAAGAATAAGGGGTAAGAACATTTGCTATTAATCTGATGATCGCCCCAGCCAGCAAACACATACTTTGTATACCATTATTAAGCCATTCCATTAAATTTCCTTTAGGTCACTTAAGCATCTGTTTATGGTTTTCAAATCCTTCCCAAAAATAATATTTAATTATTGTTATTTTTTTAAAGATTTACTTATTTATGCATATAAGAGCTGGGGTACAGGCCAGAGATGTGGTGGGTTAGAGGATTCACCAGAGACAGTGGGGAACAGAACAGGCAGATTGACCGAAGTACACTGCTGAGGGGAGCAGTGGGCAAGTCAGGAGAGGTGTGTTGCACCATGTGGGTTGCTCCCTGGCCGACCGGGGATTGAACTTGTGCTACAGAGACTGAGGACTGCTTCATAGTGTGGTGCCTAACCCCTTGTGTCACCAGGGAGGCCCTAATTATTGTTATTTCTTATGTGCTTTGCATCTGTCATATTTCAAGAACATAGACACTTCTAATATTATTCTTTTTGAAGCCAGTCTTTGTTTATTGTTAAAATTATGCCATAGACCTTTGGCTTGTTAAGTTCATAATTTTAAAATAATGAAATTAGAGCAAGGTAAACATGGATAAATCTGCGAAATCCCAGAATGTTAAAAGGCGATAACATCCTTTGGGCAAGTATGAAGCAAATTATTGTCAGGTCAAAAAATATGATCTTTTATATAAGAATGCATGTATTTATTTTTAAGTAATTACAGATGATTACTTTATGTTTTTATTCTATTTTTTATTATTTTTTAAAAGATTTATTTATTTTTATACAAGAACGGGGGTACAGGCCAGAGGCACAGGAGGGTGAGAGAATTCACCAGAGACAGAGTGGGAAGTAGAACAGGCAGACTGATTGAAATACACTGCTGGGGAGAGCAGTGGGCAAGGCAGGAGAGATCCCGCACCATGTAGGTATCTCCCTGGGCAGCGGGGAATTGAACCCGCACTGCAGAGGCTGCAGACATCTCCACAGCACTGTGCTCAACCCGCTGTGCCACCGGGGAGGCCCACTTTATGTTTTTAGAAGTTCAAGAAATAACACATACTGAAACAAATTAAAAAACACTTAAAAATCATAACTAAACCATGATCAATTTTAAAGAAAAGGTAAAATTCACTGTCAGAAAACATTAATAATAAAATCCAGATAAAATCTTGCCTCTCACACAACCATTTTTGCTACTATTTGTATATACGGAATGTCAGACAGGATAGTCTATAAAACTAATCAAGAGTGTCACTTAGTGCTTTCTATTAAATGTAAATTGGAAATGCTATAAGCAAGTTTAGAGCATCTTTCTTATTTAGACTTCATTTGAACTAATTTTCATTTTAAATAATGTTTAATTATTGTTATGACAATTTTTTTAAAGATTTATTTATTTATACAAGAACTGGGAGGCGCAGGATGGTGAGAGAATTCACAAGAGACAGAGCCATTAGCAGAACAGGCAGGCAGACTGAAAACACTGCTGAGGGGAGCAGTTGGTGAGACAGGAGAGGTCTGCTGTGCCATGTGGGTATCTCCCTGGTGTGCCGGGAATTGAACCCGTGCTGCAGAAACTGCAGACAGCTTCACAGCGCTGCGCTCAACCCGCTGCACCATTGAGGAGGCCACAGATTATTGCTCTTTATGGAATACCTACTTGTGTTATATAACAGAGAGGTTTGAAATCATTAAAACCCAGACCAGAGACTGGTTACTGCCTTGCCTCAGTATATGATAAAATACAAATTAATATTACTGATATTATTAATTATTATTATTTACCATTCCTTTGAAAATATTAATGCTTTTTTTTATTCCAAGGATAGCTAAAAGAATTCTAAAATGGGCCTCCCTGGTGGCGCAAGGGGTTGACCGCAGCACTGTGAAGCGATCTGCAGCTTCTGCAGCACAAGTTTGATCCCT